ACATAATTAGGCCATGTCAGCGCAACTTTGCCAACGAGACAAGTGCATCAGTGCAACTGTTTGCGAATGCACAAGTCCTTTTACACTCAAAACCGCTGCAGTTACAGAATAAAACAAAGAGGAACCATTGTTATATCACAAGCTTCTTCTAGATGCCTTGATGATTTTTGGGTAAATCCATAAATCTTCACTTTTGCTAATCAAACGTGCTGTTTTGTTTGTTGAAACCGTGTTGCAAGTACAACATGCAACAATACCAGTCAGTGTGAGACAGGCTGTGGATGCCTGACCCATTTGTGTATGAGTGAGTCAGATCAGCGGAGAAGTTACCCTGACTGGGGACCATGCACAATGGGGTCATGAGTTTTAACACCTAGAGCCTCGGTTCCCACCACAGCTGGAAGGACAAATATGAAGAGGTCTTAAGCAAGTGTCCAGCGCTGTGCTACTTGAGCAGAAGCCAGAGGGACAACTGATGTGTGATTTTTATTATTATTGTGACTGGGCTGCGTGAAAAGATAAAGCAGTTATCGCATCGCCGCAGAAATGGACATGAACAGGTTGTCGCTCTGATTTGGAAACGCGCGCGGACAAGACAGGAAATGCAAAATCTATTACTGCATCTGCAAAGTGTGATTTTATGCACCAGATCTCCACAGACAACGTCTGTCTTGTCGCCTTCATCTTACACCAGTTACATCTTGTTTTGATGAGGCAAAAGCTGCTGTAGATTAGAGGGAATTTATGTCTTACATCATTGTAATATTTATATATGGAAGCGTGTACATGAATAAGAAACTGGCTTCATATTCACTGGGGAAAACCAGTCCATGCTGATCCGGTGGCCCCGGCTGATGGAGTAGCCTGCTGATGGAGTTAAGTCCAGTGAGATTTAGGCTCCATCTTGAGTGACGCCTGTGGCAGGTTTATTGTATGTGTGGCTGCCCTTGCCAAAGGGTCACTGCTGCACTAGTTTGCGTTGGCCATTCTGTTTGTTGTTTCAGATGACTGCAAGGAAGCTGGAATCCAGCACAGATATTGTATATTTTGTCCAAATGTCCAAAAAAAACTTACTTAACATCCACACTGAAAGAGCCATATTTGTGAGGTTGAATCTTTTAGACAATCACTATCACGTGCGATGGACAGATGGACAGACAGGCAGGCAGACACAGACTTGCTCAAGGACACCACAGCTGCCTCTAGAATCAGAACGCCGTCCTGTCGCCCAATAACTGAACTCTTATCGAATTTCATATTTGAATTAAGAAGGAATATCACAGTGTTTTCTTCTTTGGCACGCCTAACGTGGCTTCCATTGACTTTATGTTATGTCGCTGTCTAAATAAAGCATCGTTTTGTGTGTTTGTACATCAAATTTAGAATGTTGATCACCGCTGGCACAGAGACATTAAATTGCTGTTGCTATGGAAACAGAATTTCATCTTATGCAACAGATCCAAAATGGTTCCTACAACCAGGCAGGTGAACAATCAGAAATGCTTACTTGAATGGGAATGCATATTGTGTCCATGCAAATCCTGTTTATAGATATAACAGATATTTTCTTTTTTTTATTTAGTTGCATGTATTAATAGATGTTTTTTGGTGAAAATATTTTACAAAACAATTGTTTTATTATGACATCTAACGGTGGTCCAGCTGACTCTGCATAGATTTTTCAAAGCAGCCATCATGGCCCTCCTCCATTAGAGTTATTCACCCGGTGATCTATCCTGCTCAGGGCTATCAGGACAGCCTTGCCCTGCCAGCTGTTGTGACCGACTTTGCTCGTCTGTTTTGGACGGATTTCCCAGACTCCCTTTGCTTCAGCCAAAATACTGTGGCTCCACTCTCACAGTGAAATGGTGGTAATGATCCTTAATCTTCAGTAGTTTTGTTGCTCATACCAAGACAGAGTTTACGGCTACTGTTCCTTGTCACTGAGCTAAAAAGCTATGAGTCCCGTATTCAGTGGTATCCTTCCAGTTTCCTTTTTTTTGGTACATGAAGCAATAGCTGCTAATTAAGCCACTGCCTGATCGTCGTTATCTCTAGGCTCCATCCCAAATTTTACACAAGAGAGCCGTGGTTACTGACCTAGTAATCCCCATTTAGTCTCATTGTGTATGACTCACTTGCTCCTTCAATGTTTCCATAACAATCCCTGTTTTGGAGATAAATATAATACACAAACAGATATTTTCCCCAAAAAATCTTATGAAGCAACCCGGGTATTTAATGGTAAAGAATGAAATAGAACTGGCAATTCCAATGCATTAACTCATCTTTATGTATTTTTCAATGTTATACGTCACCCTTGAAAGGCTGTTACTGTTTGCTTTACCTAAAGACAAAATAAATATGAATGAATCACCAATTATATTATCTTATAAACACATTATAATGCATTAAAAATATTAGATGTATTACAACAATGGGAATTATAATACACTAGGATCCTTGCAAAATAAATGTGTAAGTCAGTGAGTGACGAGCAATTATGAAGTATTATGACAATCGACTTATAAGTCATTATAAAAATGCTTTATAATATGTTGTGATTGTTGTTATAAAGCATTATGGATATGTATGAATGCTTAAAACTACAACTATACAAAGAAATAAACGAGCGACTGTGGTTTAGTGGTAGAGCGGAGTCGTCCTTCAATCAGAGGATCGGCGGTTCGATCCCCAGCTCCATGTCGATGTGTCCTTAACCCCTAATTGCTCTTCAAGGCCACACCTGCGGTGTACGGATGTGTATGAATGTTAGTTAATTCTGATGGGCAGGTGGCACCTTGCATGGTGAATGGGTGAATGACATGTAGTGTCAAAGCGCTTTGAGTGAAGACTAGAAAAGCGTCATACAACTACGAGTCCATTATATTATATTTACCATTATAATTATGTTTATAATGCATTATAGACATGGGTGTCATAGACAGTGTTACCGCTGATTTCCTTAACACCTCTTTGTGGGAGCTTCAGTCACTTGCTTGTTGTGTGTATGTATAACTGCAGTAACATGAGATTATCGTCATCTAACTAATACAACCAGATATAGATTATATTTTAATCGAAGTAAATAGGGATTGTGCTCCAAATAGCAACAACCTCTGGCTTTGACATAAGTAAATAACAAATTATATTCATTTTGGAGTTGGCCAATGCTACAAATTCACTAGATCCATATTAATTAGAGTATGTTTAATTGGATTACTATTTTACATCAAAAAGATCCAAACCAGGTCAAATGCATATATAGCCAGTGATCATAAAACTGTGGTTAGATTTATCCAGATGCAAAGTGGTTTGATGTGGATAATGCCTTCATTCTGTCAGCTCACCCAGCCGGAGCCTGGGGAGCTGTCCATTGTGCTGAAGTGATTCTGTGGCTGATCATTCCTGGTTGTTGTCCACTTAGAGCGTGTGGATAACACCGTCTTTGAGAAGTTCACTCCGACGAAGCATGAAGATATATATTGCCTCAGAACTGCTTTGTAGTGAATGGTGTCTACCTTCTCTCTACAGGGCTAACTGGACATTTACAGATGTTTAAAATGGTACCCTGGACAACAACAGAGCAGATTGTTGCATGTGAGCTGTATCTAAACTTTTCCCATTGATGTTTAGTCAACACCAATATATGTTTGTATTCAACAAGTCAACGCACTTTTCCGTCAATACACCTCTACTAGACCGCTAAGACTAAAGGACTAAAATTGCTTAAAGAAAGATCTAAAACAATCTATTTATAGGTAACAATAAGTATGTTAAAAAAAAACTGGTAGTGCTAATTAAGAGAAAATGTACTCTACTACTGGACCGGGATACATTTAGGGGACGACCCCCTCAATGCCAAGGAAAGGAATTGTGAAATTACAAAAAAATGGAGGCCCTGGCTAAAGTAGACACAATATCAACTCTCTGGTTTAAACTCCAGTCTACAAAGAGAGAAGACACATTTGAAAGATTGTAAATATACACTCGTGAATTAACCTTGAGGGGGAAAAAACATTCACCTGGGAGAAACTCTGGTACAACATCAATGCGGACACTTGCTTGTGTATACCATTATTTTGTCATGTGTTTCCTTGAGGTTTGATCACCAACTGGGTTGTGAAGTGAATTCCTAGAAATTCAGTTCACAGAATAAAGGAAAAAAAGGGGAATTGTTGCATTTCTTGAAGAGTGAAGATATACAACAAGTGTAAACAGAGAACTCTTGTAATTGCAGGCTGGGTCTTCCTGTGACATAGCCTGCAGTCCAGCATCATGCATGCTGATTAATACAGCCTCGGTATTTATTCATTCCAGACTGTATATTCCACACGCTATCATATTCCCCCCCCAATGCCCATATATATAACCCTATGTTTCTCTTCGGGATATATTCCACAGAGAGGAAATGAGACCTCTGCTTTATGGGGACCACCACGGGCATCAAATACGATTATGTGACCTGACAGTCTGAGGTCTGCTGACAGTGATCCATGTGGAGGGAAGGATGTGATTGTCAGTGCAATGCTTTCTTTCCTCTGCGCCGTGCCCAAATGCTCGCCATTCGGTATAAGGCTGGGCTGCAGAATCGCTACCGGCAAAATTAACCATCACTCCGACTCCAGGACAGACAATGGAAGACAAACATAAGTCGGTCCCCGCGCATGTATCCATGCACGCGACCACGATTTTGCGATGTATATCTTCCATTTTGGGGAGGGTGGTGGTGTTGAACATTCTGCAGATTAGCCCTGACCTTGCGATCAACAGTGAGTCCAGACTAATTTAAAACCGGTAAATTAAACAATTTAGCTACATCCCACGGTTATATTTTCCATTTTCACCATAGATTTTTTTTCAACCATGTGCTGAACAGCGACTCAGATATATGGAATGAATGACTGGTGCCGGTGAATACACAGCCTATGCATTTATGCGTTATGTGTGGCCGCCATTCTTAATTCTGGAGGTGCTTTAATGTGCTGGTCATCTATCAGCTCCCAGACCCGACACCGACATCGCAATGGAGGGATGAGAGGAGGAAAATGGGTGTGGAGGAGGGGAGCTGCGCCACAGTGGAGAGGGAAGAGCAGGAGCCTGGGAGCGCGCTAGGGTGGGAAACCGCCCCTCTAAGGTCAAGTCAGCGACATTCAATTACATACTTCCGGTTAGCGTTTTCAGAATAAATCCCATATGAATAAACAGTCATACCATGCTTCTGATCTTTCACACACATGCAGCTGTGGCACGTGGTTCATGGCCAATATAAACCCAACTAAATGTGGTAAAAGTAAGTGTTTGGTTGGTATGCCTAAACATTTCAAGAAACTATGAGTTATTATTTGATTAAACACTTGACAAGCTGTCACCCAGCCCTTTATTACAGCATCTAACTAAAACAAATGGAAGAGCTTGTTCATGCTTCCTGGACGCGATTCTCCTTTCCTTCACTCTGATAGAGCCGATTGAGAAAGAAAAAAATAATAATAATAGTTTTTATAATTTTACTTTGAAAGAAACACACATATTTTCCGGTTTTATTGAGGCAAATTTCAACAGTCTTGACGGATCTCACAGCTCCGGCGACAGGGAAACACACCCGTCAGCAGCGCGCATTGGAGACAAAAAAGCGCATGACGGACAAAGGAAATATGGGTGCGCTGGAGAGGATTCACTTCAGCCGGTTAACACAATGGATGAGCCGCGTGTGTTTCTTTTACCGGGAGACGAATTAGTCCACCTTAATGAGGTGTTGGGATGCAAGATACTGCAAGCTAAAAAGGCGGAAGGCTGCGTGTAATCCGTCCGCGGATCCTATGAGCTTGCAATGGCTGTGGCGGGGATATGCAAGTGGATAGGAAATAATGTGCCTTTTTATTTTGTGATATTTTCCTTATTTTGTGGCCTTTCGTTTGAACAATTGCGATATTCGATTTCGGAAGAACTAGAAAATGGGGCACTGGTCGGCGATCTGGCGCATGACTTGGGGCTGGATATTCGAAAGCTCGCCACTCGGAAAATCAAGGTAACGTCCAACAGCGGTAAACGCTACGTGATTGTCAACCCCAAAAACGGGAAACTACTTGTCAATGAAAGGATCGACAGGGAGGCACTGTGCGATTTATCCAACACCTGCCTCATCAACCTGGAGTTGATGGTGGAAAACCCCAGTGAGGTGCACCATGTTGAGGTGGAGATCGTGGACGCTAATGACAATGCGCCGCAGTTCCCCAGTGAAGAGTATCAAGTGGAAATCACGGAATCTGCTTTACCGGGGTCTCGGTACCCAATTGAAAACGCGCAAGATCCGGACATTGGGTCCAATTCAGTTCGTATGTATCAGCTTAGCACAAACGACCATTTTGCGCTGGTATCTAACAAACCCTCCCTCAACACAAAGAACATCGAGCTCGTGCTCAAAAAGCCCGTTGATCGTGAACAGACGCCTTACCACCAATTAATTCTAAGTGCTGTGGATGGTGGGATGCCAGAGAAAACAGGCACGGCCAAAATCAATATCCGGGTCCTGGACTCGAATGACAATGTCCCCATGTTCGACAGTTCAGTGTACAAGGTGAAACTGTTAGAAAACTCGCCCAAAGACACCCTGGTGATAAAACTGAATGCGACTGATCTGGATGAGGGAACAAATGGAGAGGTTTATTACTCTTTCAGCAGCTACACTCCCGAGAGAGTGAGGCAGATGTTCAGCATGGACACTAACACCGGAGAAATAAGAGTGAAGAGCAATGTTGACTATGAAGAGACCAACTCCTACGAGATGTACATCCAGGCGATGGACAAGGGCCCCGGGGCCGTGGCGGCACACTGCAAGGTAGTGGTGGAGGTGGTGGACGTGAACGACAACGTCCCTCAGATAGTGCTCTCATCTCTGTCCAGCCCCGTGAGGGAGGACGCCCGCGCAGACACAGTAGTGGCCCTCATTAGCGTCACTGATCGAGACTCGGGCGCTAACAAGCAGGTGAGCTTGGAGATCCCAGCAGGCCTTCCTTTCAAGATCAAGTCATTTAGAAATTACTACACTCTGGTTACCTCAGCCTTCCTGGACCGCGAGACCACCGATGCCTACAACGTCACTCTGAGTGCCACCGACGGAGGAAACCCTCCCCTCTCCTCCCAGAAGACCATACAGGTGGACGTGGCTGATGTTAATGACAACCCGCCGCGATTTGAACAGACTTCCTATACCGTCTATGTGGCTGAGAACAATGCCCCCGGTGCCTCTTTGTGTACTGTGAAAGCTCAAGACGCCGATATCAAAGAGAACGCACGCATCAGCTACACAGTGCTTAACGACAACAACCATGGCATCCCTGTCACCTCGTATGTGTCTGTGAAGGCCGACACAGGCGAGGCTTATGCCCTGCGAGCCTTCGACTATGAGTCACTGAGAGAGTTCCACTTCCAGGTCAAAGCCCAAGATGGGGGCATTCCTCCACTCAGCCGCGTTGCCACTGTCTACATCTACATCATGGATCAGAATGACCACGCGCCACTGATAGTCAAACCTCCTGGCAACGGCACGCGCTCCTTGGAAACGGTACAAAAGAACGCAGAGCCTGGTGCCATGGTGACCAAAGTGGTGGCTTACGATGCAGACGCTGGTCCGAATGCCTGGCTGGTGTACGTGCTGGAGACGGCTACTGACCTGGACTTGTTCAAGGTGCACGAGCACACCGGTGAGATCAGGACCACTCGGAGGATCCTGGAGGACAACTCCACCTCTTTTGCTCTCACCGTTTTAGTGAAGGACCATGGGCAGCCTAGTCTCTCCTCCACCGCCACCATCAACGTGGCTGTCATGGAGGTGCCCCCCAAAGTGGCTCCTGACCCCAAGCGGATCATCCGACCTCACAGCACACTGCTTTTCTCCAACGTGACCCTGTACTTGATCGTGGCTTTGAGTGCCACCACCTTTGTTTTCCTGGTCACTGTGGTGGTGCTGGCCATCGTCCGCTGCCATGCCTACTGCACCCAACCTGGGTCCTGCTCCCCGTGCTGCGTGTCACAGAAGCCCCCTCTAGATGGTGGGAGCAGCAGCGTGAGTGCCGGCGGGGGAGGCGGCGGCGGCGGCGGCGGCCCACCTGGGGCACAGCCTAATAACAACGTGATGCTTCGGAGGGACCTTAAAGTGGAGCCTCACTACATCGAAGTGCGTGGGAACGGCTCCCTAACAAAGACGTACTGCTACAAGACCTGCCTGACAGCCACCTCTGGCAGTGACACGTTCATGTTCTACAACACAGGACGTCCCATCAGTGGCACCTGGGGCAGCGGTGCCGATCGCTTCTTCACGAGTGGGAGCGGATTTGTACGCAGACTGAGCATGCCCGATGCCTCCATGCAACTCTGCCCAGAGGTGTGTCATTCATTTTTTTTTACGCCTACCTTATATTCACATAACTGGAAGGTCATGAATCATGATGTGTACAAATTAGAGGCTTTAATTACATTTGATTTAGCTCCAAACAATGTAAGACCATTTTTAAAGTACATACTTAACGTGACTTTTCTTTAAGGTTACAGAATAGTGTGCATCGTCGTCATTTTTGTCAGTGTTACTGTGTAGCTGCAGGGTGACGATATTCCTGCATGTCAAGTTTGATCCCCTCCTGCAATGAATCAAATCCTTGCAAGCCTCATTCTCTTTGTTCAGGTCCCACTCGTACTGTGCTGTCGCTCAGCCCGGCCCAGCACTCACACTGCATTAGTGTCAGGCCTGATGCTTTTCAGGGTCCTGTGCTATTTTCTGATGATTCAGAGATTTGTGTTTCAGTTTGAGGTTGACATCACATCTACTCTAAGAACAGGTCATGTAGTCTTCGCTACTGGCTCATTCTCTGTGCAAGAGGGTTTGACTCGTGTGTGTGTGTGTGTGGTTGGGTATGTATGTGTGAGTAAAACTGTTACACTGGATCCGTTGGGGTTAATTGACTCGATCACAGGCCCTGCAGGACTAGTTGTTGCCTCTGATTATGGGAGAGATATGCATTTACCTTCTGCCATTTTATATTCTTGATCTTAAAGGCTGCATTACTTCAATGGTACAATGTTCTCTATTTAAGATGAGTGAAACAGTGAGTGCCTTTACCTGCTAGGCCATACTTAGCGTCAGACCTAAAATACTATTTATAAAGAGGTAACATTATACCAGTTTTGCAATTATACCAGTGAAAAAGTCCTGCATACCTGCATTCCTAGCGTTCATCAATCATGTAGCTCTAAAGTGTTGAAGTCTATTAGTTGTATATTTAAGGAGCACAGGTTTGACTCTAGATTTTGGGTAGGTATGTTTTGCTTTTATGCCGCTTAGGTTAAAGAAATTAGTGGTTCAAATATTGGAATAATATCATTTTAATTTAATTTAAATGCTCCTTAGTTTAAGAGTTCATCTCTGGTTGCAGGATCTAAATTATCAAGTGACAGCCACAAGTACATCAGTTCTACGGAAATCTCTGACCAAGACAAGTGTAGCGGTGTAAATGATATTAACCTCTAGCCTGTGTTCCTCAGCCCTGCAAATTAGATTTACTCAAAGAGGCTGGGTCTACCAGCAGAAAACACTTCTCTCTGAATCGAACTGGAGAACATAATGTGCCATCTTCATCTAGAACACTTGCTACTGCCCGAGCAGGTCTGTGTCTTAAACACAGCTTTTCTTATTCAGTGTTCTTGAGGTCCAAGGCTACAAACCCACATGATGCTGACAGACTTTAGCATTCATGCAGATGTTCCTAATCATTTCATACAGTCAGTGTGCGCAGCACCTAGTCATGAGGAAAGTAACGAGTAGGCATTATCAGGCATAATAAATGGCCATGAAAGATTAGCTCATTCAAATATGTTTCCCCCGAACCAGACTTATATAGTTCTTTGAATTGAAACACATAATCATCAGCAGAATTAGGCCATCATCAAAGGCGAATGAATGGGAGTCCATTCCAATAGTCCCAATAGTCCAAAAAACATTCATCAGAATCAAGTAACTCTCCAAAGCAAGGAAGATGGAATAAGATGAAACCAGTTTGTACAAGATAGTGGTGACAATTTTGCTCCACACATTGGCTTGCACTAAATCCTACACATTTGCGCTTCCACATTTGTATACAACTGCCCATCACTCTGCGCTAATATGGACCAGACCTATAGGATGCGGTTGCTCTGGCGATGATGGCTTATTGGTTTTCAAAGGCAATAATTCACAAGAGGACTGCTGGGAGTTGCAAGCACTCAGCCCGGGTTCATCTGGAGCAGACAGATGCTCACAGTTCCACACAAACATGGACATATCGGCCTGTTCAAACACCCCGGCACTCAGGGAGAGGGCATAACTCCCCCAGCTCTCACATTCATAGAGCCATGGAGTGAGAGTCTGTCCAAAACTGGTCAATATGATTCTCAGTCACTGGCCTTTTTAAAGTCCTTCTGTGTCTGTGTGGATATCAATATGTATG